CGGGCCGAGGGGCGCACCTGGAGGCTGGGGGGCTGGTCCATGTTGAGCAAGTGCACAAGGATGCCCTGCAGCCGGACACAGAAATTGCTGCCCACGTCAGGCAGCAGCCCCAGCAGCGCATGGAGGATGTGCACGCGGTCAGCCCAGGTGGCCTCCTCCAGCAGCTCCACCAGCAGCGAGGCCAGGCCCTCCACCGTGCCCGCCTCTGGGTATGCCTGCAGGGACCAGCATGCTCAGGCCCTACCCTGCTCCACACCCAGGTGGGCTCCTGCCTTCCTCCCTGCCCCCGACCCCAGCCCGTGCTTCCCGGGGGTCCCAGACGCCCCCAAACCTGCAGAGTAAAGATGGGGAACAGCTTTTTGAACCAGTTCTGGGTGACGAAAAATTGCAGGAAACTGGGCAGATACCCATAGCGTTCTTCCCAGAGCGAGTGCCTGGACTGGTCCTGGGGGGGAAAGCTCTTGGTCCTGGCAGCCTCGTAGGGGCGCAGGGGCTCCAGGGTCAAGTCTGCAGAGGCCTAAGGGAGAGGAGGCAGCTCTGGGTCGTGGTTGCCGAGTGCCAAGTCTTCGCCTCCTGGGGTGCTCTGGGGTGTGTACCCGAGCATCTACCTGAGCCTCTGGCTCCCTGGAATCCAGCTGCTGATCAGAGTCTGACCTGGGCGGGCTCAGGGACTCGGAGGCCCAGTCCGCGTCCAGGTCCAGCTGCTCTGCCTCCTCCGCCTCCGCCTCCTCCTCCCCGGGCAGCCCCCCCAGCCACGGGATCAGCTTCCTCTGCCAGTGGGTGTGGAACTGCCTGGGGTGCTGCAGCCACAGGTCATCCTGGTTCCAGCCTTGCTGCGGAGGGGAAGGCACAAGAGGTGGCTTCTGGCAGGGCTGTGGGGACAGCGAGCCTCCCAGAGACCTACCCCGCCCCTTGCCTTCAGTCTCTTCCTAGTGCCGAGCTGGGCCAGAGATCCGAGGCGGCCGACCTCTGCGGGCAGCCACATCTGCTGCAGCACCATGGAGTTGGGCACGCAGCCAGGGAAGCTGACCGGTCGTGAGCACTGCTGGGGTGGAGCACAGCAGGGCAGGTTGAGGACCTGAATTCCCAACCCAGACGCCACCCTGGGTCACCCCCACGACTACGCAGAGCCCCTCAGCCACTGGCTCAGCTCTGCCTGCCAGGTCTCTGACAGCTGGACTGGGCTGGCCACCCCTGCACCCAAAACGCAGACAGGCAGGGAGAACCTGAGAAGCCAGGGAAAGGGTGGCCAGTGGACACATCAGCTGCAGTAAATGAGGGAACTATGGGGACCCCACCCCCCACGCTTTCCATGAGACTCAGCCCCAGCTCTGGAGCGGGGAAGTCAGAAAGAAGTGGGGGCATGTGAGTATAGAAGGAAAGAACTCAGAAGGATGGCAATGGACGGCATCGTGGTGCTACCCAAGCTGGAAGGGTTGGCGACCCAGCCGGGTAGGCGACAGAGCCAGGCATGTGCTAGGGGAAGGGCTGAGGCCTGCCTCGGCACCTGGTATGGGCGCGTGTAGGGTAACAGTGCATTCCGAAGGGCCTCTCCCCTTGACCTTGCTGCCCTGAAGGGCAGGGACCCTGGTCTTCCAGGAAAAGTCCATAGGGAGCCAGCCCCCAGCACTTCCACTGCGGAGAGGGGTGTGCAGGCAGAGGCAGCTGGTGGAGGCTCCCCAGACCCCTGGCTGTACCCACAAACAAGCCACACCAGAACTGGGTCGGGTGGGGTGGGGGCTGGAGCCCGGTCCTCTGGGCTGTAGGTGGGCAAGGAGAGGACAGATGTGCAAGAAGAGTGGCCCCTGGGGGTGCCTCTGGGGAGCCAGGAGGACTCACCTTGTGGGGCTGCGTGGTGGCAGGAAAGAAGCCCCTGAGGTTAGAGAGAGCCTCCTTGGGCTGTCTCTTCAGCAGCAGTGGGATCTGGGGGTGGGACAGGGGCTCAGAGCAGAGCACAGGCCCCAGCGTCCCTGCAGCTCTGCCCTTGGGTAGGTAGGCAGCACCCCACCTGCCCAGGCCCCTCACCCTGTGCTGCAGGTGGGAGGAGGGCAGGTCCAGAGCCACAGGTGCCTCCCCTCGGAGCGGCCGTGACTGCAGCTGCAGATCCAGACTGAGGCCCAGATCATAGCTCAGGGAGGAACGGGCCAGAAGCTGGGGCACGGGAGGAGTCATGGGGCAGGGGCAGGGCCGGAGGGCAGGGCAGTGCAAGGGTGGGCAGGGCTGGGAGTGTGGGGGCCTCACCCGGGACGCCTTGCTGTGCACTCTCCGGCAGGGGGTGGAATGGGCAATGCAACTCTGGGAGGGCGGGAGAAGCGCTGGCCCTGGGCCCCCAGGTCCTGTGGGGGCAGGGCTGTTGGTGCTGCCTGGCCTTTGGTGCTGACCCCAGCCCACCCGAGACAGGGGGCAGCTCTTGGCAGGGTACACATGTCCCAGGTCTCTCTCTCCACCGTGAGGGTCATGGTGCTGCATGGCTGGGACTCCCTTCCAGACTGCACACCCTGGGGGCGGGAGAGGGCAGAGCAGATGGAGGGGTCAGAGGCCTGGGGCAGAAGGAGGGTCTGGGACTGGGGGAGGCCCCACACTCACCAGCAGGCCAGGGCCATGGATCAGCCGTAGGTAATTGTCAAAGGCTTCCTGGCACTGCTGCCAGGAGAGGGGGGGCCGGGCTGCTGGGACCACTAGCCCCAGCTTCAGCTGCTGAAGATCTCGGTCCCGGGCCACTAGGGCTTCCAAATCCTGAGGAGGGTGCCTCCAGGATGGCTGAGCAGGTCTGCCAGCAGACCTGAGGCTGGCTGCCCTGGGCAGGTTGGCAAGCCTCTGCAGCTGGGCAGAGGTCAGAGACTCCTGGCTGGTCAGTGGTAGTGGAGAGTCATCCACCACATCAGGGGTCTTTTGGCACAGCTTCTGAGCACGGGAAAGAAGCCTGGGTCCCTTGCCTGTAGCGGCCCACCTTGCCCACCCTGTCCTCACTACACACCTTAACCAGATAGGATGTGGGCAGGTAGAGGCTATGGGACACCAGGCAGAGGCGGGAGCCCAGTGCCAGCACCAGGTCTCCACTGTTGCTGCAGAAGGCCAGGGCCTGAGGGGCACCATCCAGCTGCAGGAGTCTGCAAGGGTCCACAGGGGCCAGAGTCCAGCCCGGACTTCACGGTGTGGGAAACTGAAGCAGCAGCAGGGGCAAGGCCCTCTCCCCTGTCCATCCCCTGGGGTCTGCGGTGGGGGCAGAGGTAGGAGATCCCAACTGGCTGGCCCCCACACCCTCAGCCTGGCCCTCCCTCAGGCCCCAGCCCACCGCAGCAGGCGGTTCTCGGCTGTCCAGATGCGGACGGTGCAGTCCAGGCTGGAGCAGGCGTACAGCTCGAGCGTGGGACAGCAGCACAGGCCTATGGCGGGGACTCAGGGTCAGCGTCCAGGGCGGTGTTGCGGTCTAGGCTTCACCCTCACCACCCCTCACCGGTGATGTGGTCCATGGGGTCGTCCTGGGGCCGGTGGTCACAGCGCTGGCTGTTGCCCAGGCCAAACTGCACCAAGCCATAGGTGGCACTGTCCTGGTCCTCAAAGCCTATGGTGACACGTGTGCCGAGCGCACAGAGCATCACCACCGGATGGCAGCAGGAGAAGGTGCGAAGCAGGCTGAGGCTCTCCTCGGTGTAGGGGAAGACGCGCCACACCTTCACCGTCAGGTCCCCGCCTGTGGGCAGCGGGAGCCAGAGCTGGGCCTTCGGGGAAGGCAGGGGCTCCCAGGCCTGCCACGGGGGCGGGGGCGGGGGCAGGAGCGGGCGCTGACCCGAAGACACGACGCTGTTCCAGGTGGATGCCACGGCGGTGACGGGGCCCGGGCTGTGTGCCTCCGTGCGGAAGACGGTCTCGGACGAGCGCCACTCGAGCACCGACAGCGAGCCGTCCGTGTACCCCAGCACGGGCAGGTACCTGTGGGCGGCGACGCAGCCTGTCGGCGCGGGCCCTGTCGCCGGTCCGTCCTCCGGCCCTCGCCAGCACAGGCGCCCACCGGTTCTTGTTCTCCCAGGGCCGGGCCACGGCGCTGTGGCACGGCTCGCCCCCC